TCACTGTTATGAAACTTGATGTCAGCTATGAGAATCATGCTTTAAGGAGATATGAACTGAAGACATGTTATTTTTTTCTGCTAAGATTGTGGATGATAAAATTAAATCCCCTTAGGCTGTCATAATAAGGATCCTGTGTGTGTGCAAATACTGGTTGGATATTCAGTCTGTGCTTTTTTCATTCATTTTTGTACAAAGGATTGTTTACTTTTAAAGACCTTCTTCCCCACCCCCTCCACTTTGTTTTGCTGCATTAATAAGATTTTAATGCAAAGGACAAGTGATTGTAAGCAGTGAAGCAAAGAAAAGCCTTACGGAGCAAGACTGATAAATTGAAGACATAGATCAGACTTCCCCGCCTGCCTAAATAATTTAAGATAAAAGAAATATTCATCAAAACGGAGCCATGCAGATGGCTTTGATTTTATTACTGTTTGTCAAAAAGGACAAAAACCTAGGAATAGCTATTAATTCTCCAATATCAGTATGCTTCCTATATAATAGTGAAGCAACATCTTTGTTTTACCAGCCGGTAAAACAGAAGGTTTATTAGTTGACAGGAACACAGCTTAGGGCAGAACTTGAAGATAGGTCCATCAATGGCTATTAGCCAGGATGGGCAGGAATGGTGTCCCTAGCCTCAGTTTGCCAGAAACTGGGATTGGGTGACAAGGCATGGATTACTTGATGATAACCTGTCTATTTCATTCCTTTTGGGGCACCTGCCATTGGCCACTGTCAAAGGGCAGGATACTGGGCTTGACCCAGTATGGCCGTTCTTATGTTCTTATGTTGTTAGCACAGAAATCAGTGACTTTCAGCCAAGTCCATTTTGGGGGGAGGGGAGCCCAGAGCCAGGGCTCTGGTCTTCCCCTGAGCCCCAAGCCAGCCAAGACTGACCTGCTTCCAGCTGCCTGGCCCCTGCCCTGCCCGTTGCTCCTCCTCCGGACTTTGTCTCGCTTCCTGGGCCAAGAGTCACCTGGTCGCATCCCCCTCCTGGGTCTGAGATTATGAAGGGGCGACCATAGCATCCATGCAGGCAGCTGGATTAACCCCCACAAAAGTCACACACGCTTATTCCCACCACCTAGACGTTGGTGCAATACACAGGGAAACTGAGGCACACACAGCATTCATGCAAAACAGTAAGACTCACATACAACGTAACAAGGGAAAATCCCCACTTCACATCTCTTCCCCCTTTGAGACCGAACTGAGCAGGGTCACTTTAGCCAGTGACCTGGGGAAGTTCAGGCCCCCCTCTCAGGGACAAAGCATCACCTATAACATTTGCAGTCCCCTTTAACGTGGACCACGTCCATCTCATAATCCTGGAAGGACAGACTCCATCTTAGGAGCTCGGCATTGGCCCCTCTCATCAGGTGCAGCCTGGCAGGGCGATTGGTCCAGGTACACAGTGAAGCGCCGTAAACACAGAAAACAAAATTTCTTATAGGAATGTTTCTGCTAATACTTCTCCACCTTCTAATGTGATTAGTAAATCAGATCATGTAATAAGTATTATAGGTAACAGTATAAGAAAAAGCAACACACTGTATGACTGAAGCATTTTATTCTTCAGTGCTATATTTTGTTTGACTTGTGTTTTTGACCTTTTTGTTTTGATTTGGATTTTTTGTTTAGTTAGTGTCATGTTTTTGGGGGGCTGGGTGGGGGAGGGTTCTGGGGTTGTAAATCTATATTATTGCATTCAGGATTTACCAAAGCTTGGATCACAGGTGAAAACATATCTACATCATTAAAAAATATGTACAATACCTGAGATTATTGTACAATTCTGAGGCCAATATGCATTCTTTTAATGAAAGTAAATTAAACCAAGTGAAATATTTTATAGTAATGCATAAGGTTTTGTTTGGCAGACCTGTAAACCTGATAGCAATGTTCACATTAGAAATACCTACATACATTAGAACTGTGGTTCTCAAAGAGGGTTACGCAGAGGTCTTCCGGGGGGACATCAACTCATCTAGATATTTGCCTAGTTTTATAACAGGCTACATAAAAACTACTGAAGTCAGTACAAACTAAAATTTCATACAGACAATGACTTCCGTATACTATACACTGAAATGTAAGTCAAATATTTATATTACAATCGATTTATTTTATAATTATATGCTAAAAATGAGAAAGTAAGCATTTTTAGTAACAGTTCTTTTAAGAGATTATTTATTATACTTCTTTACACTTTATATTTACAAGACACTTAACTAACCTTGATTAATCTGCACAACCAGAGGACGCCTCTTCAGGGTATTATCTCCATTTAACAGATAAGGAAGAGAGATTAAGTGGGCTTGCACAAGGCTGCAGATTTCAGAGTAGCAGCCGTGTTAGTCTGTATCCGCAAAAAGAACAGGAGTACTTGTGGCACCTTAGAGACTAACAAATTTATTAGAGCATAAGCTTTCGTGGGCTACAACCCACTTCTTCGGATGCAGAGAAAATCCATGTCCTAGTCTACTACTTCAACTAGTAACATGCATTTTATTGAATAATTTCTTGCCTGGCACATCCCATTCTTAGTACTTTTGCATTTTGTACAATTTAATTTGTTTTCAGATTCAAATTAAATTGAGGAAATGAATTGGCATGTTAATGTTTTTTGTAATTCGTATGTCCATTGTAAAGATCTTCTGCCATGTTTTTGCCCTAGGTTAGTGTTGTAAACAAGATGCTGTATTTCAGTGTGTTTATCAGTTAATTATTTTTCCAATAAGAACAATGAATTTCTCATCTGGCAGTCAATATTGTTGCATAGTGTATTTGAGCTTGTAAGGCAGTGAATAATTAATAGCCCTTCAGTCATTTGTGGCAAGAACTTCTAGAGATGCTTTCCCATGGAATTGTACAGCTTGGAAATTATTTAAATATTTGTGTCAAGTCCACAAAGTAGACTCTTAATAAGCAAACTCAAATGATGTATCTCAGCAACCTGTCTTTCAGGTCTGCCATGTACAGAACTACCATTGATTTCAACTGGGCTTTCAGGCCTTAATCCTGCACGATTCAAGTCAATGGGAGTTTTCCCAGTGACTTTAATGGGAGGCAAATCAAGTGTTTGAGTGTGGAAGACTTGCAGGACCAGACCTTTTATTTTGAAAAGCTGTATTCCCGCAAAGTAATGGGACATAAGTGTATACATTCAAGAGTAAAATATGGGGTTTATTGCCTAATTACCTTCAATGCACTGCTAATGGATTTTCTGTTACATGCTTTCTTAGGTCAATGGAACAGAAATCGAATATGAATTTGAAGAAATTACATTGGAGAGGGTAAGTATGAATTGTTTTTGGTATTAAAGAAACCAGTGAAAATTTGATTTTCTGTAGCACAAATAATGCAATTATGATGAAATAATATCATTAAAGGTCAAATTCTAAATTCCTTAGTTAGATAACATTTTCCATTTTAAGTGAGGACTTCAGGATTTGTCCAATAGTGTGGGGTCCCATGCGGATAAAGCACACAACCAATGTGGTTGCAAGCTGAACTCTGAATCCTGTTTATTACAAGCTTTCTTTTATAGTCTTTCTCAACATTACATAACACAATTAGGCTATAATTACACATCTACCGATTGGCCAAGAAGGAGAATCATGTGTTTATCACATGTACAGCCCCACACCGATTGGTTCAGATGTTCCTTACATAAGGCCTCATCTTATATAACCACCAGGGGGCCTTACATAAGGCCTCATCTTATATAACCACCAGGGGGCCTTACATAAGGCCATGATTTATTGCCAGGCAAGTGTCCCATCGTGACCCTTACCCTCTCATGGAACTTTACATCCCCACACAATAGTTTGTAAATATGAGAAATTCAGCAGCGTCAGCCTTTCACGTGTTTGCATGTCAGGGTCCTGAATGCTTTTCCTATTCATAACTATTACATGGTGTTGAGGTCTGAGTACTCGGAAAAGACCATCAGGTGATGGAACTTCTGGGTGCAGAGATTATTTTTCTTTGTACTTTGCAAGCTGGAAGTATGGAAAGCTTTCCTCACTTTTAGCCTCCTGGACTTTCTTGTGTGTTCATGAGGAAAGAAGAAATTTAGCACAGATAAGCACTTTATAGCGAGATAATTAACAGCCTTTCAAATTGTAATTTTGTAGTAACTGTGTAAAAGCAGGGTCCTGTATGTATAAATGTGTATGTACAAAGGCATGGACAATATTTGTACAGACTTATTTCTTATCAGTATTAACTGTGTGTGGTATTAGAACTGAAACCTTGTATTGTTAACTGTGCAATTTAAACATAGCATTGGAAAAAGTGTAGATTTAGGAGTCACTTTGCATCAGGTCTTCCTAGCCTCAGTGACATGTGTTTGGTTGCTGGTTACATAACTATTTTTTTAAGACTGCAGAAGTAGACTACAGACCTCTTTTAATTATCTTTAAACTAGTATAAACAGGCTACTTTCTATATAAAATAATGGAAAGCAAGGCCTGATTGATCAAAATGTGACAATAATGTCACATGAGCAAAAGCCTGTAAGGTAACTAACTATTCTTAAATAGCTAGTAAGGGCTTGTCTACATGGGGACTAAGTCAACGGGACTAAATCATTTAGTTAGTTCATTTTACACAGAAAATAATGAACTTTGCTCTTATCTATAAGGTTTTACAAGCATGTGTAGGCAAAGACATAAGATAAAATAGGAATTGCCTCAACATTGCACTTCCACTGCCTATAAACAACACTGATTTGTACAAAACACTTCCAAACCACCACCCCCACATAAACACAAATAAATAGCTGGATATACAGTGGCACAATTTCAGGCATGAGACTCAAAATAAGAGCAATAGGTATCCCCAATGATATTGCCCTGGCTGTTTGCATTTTGTATTGGATGCCTTGCTGACTGCTCAAACCTCTGAGCAAGTCTCTGTTCCTAAGCCTCTCACCCATTGCTAAGGGTTCTCCCTTGCTCTGACAAATATTGTGCAAAATACAACATGCTTCTATAATCTTTGGGACACTTTCTTCTGCTGCTTACAACCTATTCCACAAACAGTGCCATCTCCCTTCCAAATGCACATAGCACTACCATTCTGCAACTACTGAGGTGGCAGTTAAAAGTTCCTGCCTTTGGTCCAAGTAGCTTTTGAATGGCTTCATAACAACGGAAGCTGCACACTACTCAGCAGCAGATGATAAGCTCGGGGTCTCAGGATAACTGGAGCAGTCTCCACACCATTAATGTCCATATTGTTCCTGGAAGAAAACAGTCCTTTCTCCGTGACATTAAAAAGAGTTGAGTTCTGAAAGAACCTAGCATCGTGGATCCTTCCAAACCACCCAACATTTGTCGGTAAACCTGCCCTGATGGTCGACAAGCTCTTGGAGCACCATGGAGAAATACCGCTCTCTGTTTATGAATTCTGAGCTCTAATCTGGGGGGGAAGAGGGAAAAAATAGGCACGCAGATCCCATCAGTTGCCCCAATACAGTTTGAGAGGCCCATGTGTGCAAAGCCATCAATAACCACCAGAGCATGACTGAGCTGTATAACTCGGTGCAACAGTATCTTTTCCATCTGAACACATCTACACATCTGAACGACAATGGCCCCAACAGTCGATCTCACCACACCAAATTGGTTCACTACAGACCAGTAGCATTCAGGGATAGCCAGCTTCCAGATGGCAGTGGGGACCTGCTTGTCCATGAGTATGTGGCACTGCATGTTGGTACACGGCCATTGTAGCTCTGGGGTTAGTTCAGCACATATCTTCAGAAAGACTGCCTACCTCATCCTGAAATTCTCTCACGACTGCTGGTCATCCCAGGTCTGCAGAACAACCTTTTCCCACCAATCCACGCTGGTTTCCCAAGCCCAGAAACTATGCTACAAGCTTTGAAGCTGCTCCAGGAACTGGGCCTCCACTATCACTTGCTTGATGTCTTCCTCTTCTTCCTCATCTGTGTCACATGATGTGAGGACACATCATCTCATGCGCACACTATTACTGGTACCACTCATTACCTGGTGCACATAAAAAGCTGAGGGTTAAACTCCCTGTATAGACAAACCCTGAGAGTAAATGACTCATTGCACAACATCTTCTGCATATTGTACTTTTCATTGTCTAGGAGCATGAATATCATAACCGTTACACTTTGAAGGGACACAAGTTTAAATTTGTATTGATAAGTTTTCCTATGCGCTTTAAAGCAAAGCACAGAAAGAGCCACTCTCTGTGTATCATCACAATATAACGTGTCATAGTTATAGGCACTTTTTATCTATGGTTTCTCAGACTATTTGGGCATCTCTAGCTATTTGTTAGATGAGAGTTTTCAAAGGTCACTGAACAGAACAAATGCCTCCTGGGTAGTATTTTGAGTACCACTTCATTTTTAATAGATGTGTAAAGTTATCAGCTTACATAGTACAAAAACCAGTGTGTTTTTTGCCAATGCTAACGTAGATAATTATTCCTATTATATTTTAAATGTTGTTTGGTAAGCATTTGCACACACAGTTATAGTTTCGTGGAGGACACTTGGAAAACTTTCTGGCAGCAGCTGAATCTGTGGCTACTTGTTCTTACTACTTGAAATGTTCAGTCACATGTATCAGTGCTATTTCTCAGAAATGGGAAGGATAAAGGCTCCCCATCTGTTATTGTGAGAGAGAGAAAATACAAGTTATTGCCTTTAAATGGCTGTTATCTATTTATGTTACAGTGACAGTGTTTTCAGAAGAGGTGAGAAATACTTCACATTAATTATCCATTTTCTTCTACAAATTGCCCTAGAAATTAGATTGGAAAATCTTCTCCATTTAATGGCAAAGCTGGAAAAATATGTTAGGCCAGTGGTTTGGAAATACAAAAACTATATTACATCAGTAGCAAACAGTACATAATAAGCTTCCCCTCTCAGTGCAGATTCTGAGCTACTGTAATTTAAATGTCATCCGTTATTTATTTCACTTATGATACACTGCTAAAACTTACAATTGCCAGCTTGCTCATGCATCCCTAAATTGTAGCTACCAAATAATTTAGGATTACCAGACAAAAAATCAAATGGATTGCTGTCCCTTGGGGCAGTTGTCCTTTTCCCCGCTTTGTTAATTGTAACAATTAAAGCAACAGAGATTGGGCACGGATTGCATTGCAAAGCATTGCCCAGATTCCATAAGCCCAGCAGTGCCAAAGTTGCACTCTTCTGTGGTTGACCAGTTGGTTGCAATATTGATTGTGAGGAAAGTCTATAGGGACATGGCATTGGCAATACGCTCTCTCAAAGTGTTGAAAAAATCGTAAGTCGGGCATAAATATTTAATAGTAGAGTAATTAATCATTGGAATAACTTTACCAAGCGTCATGGTGAATTCTCAATTACTGACCATTTTAAAATCAAGATAGGATGTTTCTCTGAAAGTGATGCTCTAGGAATTATATGGGGGAAGTTCTATGGCCTGTGTTACACAAGGAGCGAGACTAGATAATCACAATAGTCCCTTCTGGCCTTGGCATCTATGAATCCCCCTCCCCCAAATTATGATATTGGTTCTCCTTTTTATTTGCCTTCTGGCTTTTAGGTTTTAAATCACATTTGGATCATATTATCAAACTTTTCTCTTTAACCATGAGTGTCACAAATTTACTTCTTCTTTGTTTGGTTGTTATTTTGTAAATGAAAGCTGAGATTCTCACATAATCACAGGATTGCAAGAGCTGGGGCTTTTAAAGAAAAATACCAAATATTATGAGATTTGTGATTAAAATTACGAGAATAGTTATGCTGTGGAAACCACCGAGCTGAAGAGTGGGGTGCAGTCACAACAGTAGTGTAAGAGTTGGGTACAGCAGTGTCCTCCCATGCACTGCTGGGGAATCTAGTATATCTAGGCATCAGACTCTGGCAGATTCCCCTCCTTTAGAGACCTGGGGTGGGGCCAGGGCCGATGCAAGGATATTTTGCGCCCTAGGCGAAACTTCCACCTTTCGCACCCACCGCCCCCAACATTGGTTCATTGAGGGGCAAATCCCAACGAGCCTTGATAGACCCCAGGGGCCAGCCGTGCCCAGGGGCTGCTCCCCAGACCAGGTTCCCCCCTCCCCATCCCCTGAACTCCCCTGGAGGGTGCACAGCCCCCCCGTGAGCCCTCCCCACGCCGGCGGCCCCCGCCCCGAGTCCACTCACTGGCTTTGCCGGGCTTGGGCCGCTGCAGCAGCTCGGCAGGGAGGAGCTGCCTTCTGGGGGCTCCTGCAGCAGATGCATGCGGGCAGAGGCCCCTGTGCGCCCCCC